ACATTTTTATTGTTATTATTCTTTAACTTTTTTTTATTTTTACCTAGAAACTGTTTATGTTAGGTATACATAATTCATGCATTTCACATATACAAATTTAGGAACATAGTGCTTTTTAAATTTCTTTTGGAAAATCAGCATTACTTTGATGATGATACAGGGGACAAGGACTTAAAATAAAAATTTAAGTTTTTTAGAAGTATCCTATTCATAAGCAGAGATGAAAGTATCCCAAGTAAGGCTTAATATAACAAATGAAATTACATAAGGGGCCGGCACCGCAGCTCATTAGGCTAATCCTCCACCTAGCGGCACTGGCACACGGGGTTCTAGTCCCGGTCGGAGCGCCAGATTCTTTCCCGGTTGCCTCTCTTCCAGGCCAGCTCTCTGCTGTGGCCAGGGAAGGCAGTGGAGGATGGCCCAAGTCCTTGGGCCCTGCACCCCATGGGAGACCAGGAGGAAGCACCTGGCTCCTGCGTTCAGATCAGCGCGGCGCGCAGGCCGCAGAGCACCAGCCACGGCAGCCATTGGAGGGTGAACCAATGGCAGAAAGGAAGACCTTTCTCTGTGTCTATCTCTCTCACTATCCACTCTGCCTGTCAAAAAAAAATTCTTAAAAAAATATATCAATGGGGCCAGTGCTGTGGCTCAGTGGATTAAAGCCCTGGCCTGAAGCGCCGGCATCCCATATGGATGCTGGTTCTAGACCTGGCTGCTCCTCTTCCAATCCAGCTCTCTGCTATGGCCTGGGAAAGCAGAAGATGGCCCGGGTCCTTGGGCCCCTGCACACACGTGGGAGACCCAGAAGAAGCTCCTGGCTCCTGGCTTCAAATTAGCTCAGCTTCAGCTGTTGTGGCCTTCTGGGGAGTGAACCAGCAGATGGAAGACCTCTCTCTCTGTCTCTACCTCTCTCTGTAACTCTGTATTTCAAATAAATAAAAAATAAATCTTTAAAAAAAAGAAAATATATCAATAACAGCAAGATATAATAAAACAGGTAAGATAGGTTAAGATATACAGACAAGTCATCCAGGTTGGTAAAAAAGGAGAAGAAGAAGAAGAAGAAGAAGAAGAAGAAGAAGAAGAAGAAGAAGAAGAAGAAGAAGAAGAAGAAGAAGAAGGAGACGATGACGACAATCACATGAATAGTTAGATTACATGTTGAGAATTGATGCCCAAATGGGGTACCAGCACTGCAGGCAGCGGCTTTACCAGCTAAGCCACAACACCGGCCTGTCCAGAGTGTTTTCATTAATGCAAATACCAATTTTCACCACATCTAATTTATACTTGTTATCTTTTTTTTTACTTTTTGTTAATAACCATTTTTACATATCTGAGGTGATAATCATTGTGGTCTTGTTTAGCAGTGCTGAACTCCTTTTCAAATACCTGTTGGCTGCTTGCATATCTTCATTGGAAAAAAATGATCAGATTCTTGTCAATTTTTAAATTATATTTGCTTTTGAGTTCTGCATGTTCTTTGCATTACTCCCTTAATAAAAGTAGGTTTGCCAATATTTTCTCCCATTCCTTACCTTCTCTTTTCAGTTTTTCTTTAGTATGCAGAATTTGTTTATTTAGCTTTTTGCAGCCCTACTTCCTTATTTCTGTTTTTGTCACTTGTGCATGGGGTGTCATGTCTAAACTGTTGTTGAGGTCTGACTCAGCCACACCTTTATTAGGCATTTGTGAAGTAAACCAGTGGGTGGGCGCATTCTCCTTCCTTTCCATCTTTCTGTGTGTCTCCTTTTCATTCAAAGTAATTAATTAAAAATCTGTAAAATCTACTTGGAGTAATTCTACAAAATCAGAGTTAGATTATGAGAATGAGTTTCGATGTTACATAGCTTGATGGGTTGACTATACCCCCACAGTAATGTATTCCATACTTTATTAGCAAATGGAAGAAAGGTGTTCCAAGGCTCTGATCATGAAGTGTGATGTCATAGAAGGGAGAATGTTGTTTACTCTGATTTGATCGGTACATATTGTAGCCAGGGACTAAAATCTCACACTGTAACCCATAGATAGATAGATAGATACATACATACATAGATACATAGATAGATCTAATTATAAAAAAAAAACTCAAAACACCATCTTACTTGTAGTATAAGGTTAAGGGATATTAAAATATTTAAATTAGTATCACAACTAATATTATGAGCTTTGAACGTAGTTTATTAATACAACTATAATCCAGAAATACCTGAATTGACATTTTGAAATGCCAAGTGGAGCTATTAGGAAGCAGTACATTGCATAAATTGGTGAGTAATATATCTTAAATTGTTTCACATTAGAAAAACAAAGTATTTCTTTCCATGTATATGGAGTTAGTTTGAATTAGGCAATATGAAACAAGAAATATTGAATGAATGGTAGGTTAATTGTGGTGCAAAATTTTCTTGAAATACAAGCATACTTCTTTTCCATGAATTGTAAGGTCTCTCATCTTTATGGTTTAAATATTCTCAAATGGCTGTAACAGCCAGGGCTGGACCTGGCTGAATCCAGGAGTCAGGAACTCGATGACCTGGGTCACCCATGTGGTGGCGGGGACCCAGGTACTTGAGCCATCTTCCACTGCTTTTCCCAGTATAGTAGCATAGAGTTGAAATGGAAATGGAGCATCTGGGACTTGCAGGTGGTGGCTTACACTTCGGTGCTACAACACTGGCCTCATTTTTTTTTTCAGGGTGACAGGGAGACACAGTATTAACAGATTCTTTATAATTTAAAAAGTTCAATTTAGATAAAATTCCTTGTAGTTTGGGGCTAGCCTCTGGCTCAGCAGGTTAAGCCACTGCATGTGATACTGGTATCCAATCAGAGCCAGTTAGAGGCCAGCAGCTCCACTTCTGGCCCAGCTTCCTGATGGTGATGGCCTAAGTACTTGATCTGAGCCACCTACACAGGAGAATCTGATGGAGCCTCATGCTCTTGGCTTTGCCCTGGCTGGGACCAGGCACCTGCAGCCATTTGGGCAGTGGACCAGTAGATGGAGGATCTTTCTCTCTCTCTCTCTCTCTCAATGATTCTACTTCTCAAATAAATTATTTTTTAAGAAATCCATCATTAGTTTACAAAAAAATGCTTTTAAATGGAAATTGACATGATATTAATAATGGCATTATAAAAAGACTGATATTTTGGTACTAAACTCTGATAAATTAAATTCATCTAATTATTAATATTACTTCAATAATTCTGTTTACAACAGTTTCACTTCTCTACTGACAAATTAAACTCACTCAGGTTGTCAGAGAAGAATAAACCACAAATTCAAAGAAGTACCAGTCTTATCTACAACATGATATTGGGAAAATATGTAATAGTACCACTGCTTAACTACTAGGTTTTGCCAAGTTTTTCAACTGAGTCATTTGACTAGCACCTGCTCTCATGATGTATCTACTCTCAATTTTTCATGAAAATTTAGGCATTGCTTGCATTAAAACAAAGGTTTGTATAAACCTAACCATTTTAATCTGGTATAGATTTGCTAAAAGCGTGAATTACTGGACCTGTTAAGAAAAGAAGGCTGCACCAAACTCAACTTAGCATCATGAGTTAATGCATTAATTATCCCCAAGTGTTGAACAGTGGTATGGTACACATTTGAATTTGCAGAAATAGTTTAAAATATATGTGTGTATAAGAATGCAAGCTTTGATTTACATTTTCACCGATACCTTAAAGTGCCACTTTGGAGCCTGAGGGAGCCTTGATGTCTATTGAATCTGAGAGATCCTTCATGTCTATCTTGAGTACAACTTGTCTTATCCAATCTCATTCTGCACATGAGGATGCTAAGTGTTAAGTCCCAGAGAAGTAAAGTGAGTTGTTTTAGGTCATGTCACAGTGGTAATTCTATATAGAGTTAGCCATCCTGATTGTTATACTCCTTCTAGGGTTAAAGATTATACTTTCTGAAAAATTAAGGTTGGAAAATTAGTACTTGCTGTTTTGTGACAGAGGAAAATTTCTTTGAATACTTGTTCATGAGCTGAGTAAATTTTTTTCAAGACATTTTTCTACTATGTTTGCTACTTACTTGAAATATATAACAACCAATTTATATAATCCTTAAAATGGATTAATTTTATGTAATGAAGTGGAACTTTTCTCAAGATTTATTGACAGTCTCACAGAAAAGCTTTTAACAAACTGAAAGTGTTTCCACCTCCTTGTAAATTTTAGAAATCATTAGGCATTCTACAATGTTGGCAGAGTTACAGAGAGGCAAAGGCAGAGAGGGAGAGACAGAGGTCTTCCATCCACTGGTTCACTCTCCAAAGGGCTGCAATGGACTGAACTTGGTAGATCTGAAGCCAGAAGCCAGGAGATTCTTCCAGGTCTCCCACACAGGTACAGGGGCCCAAGAACTTGGGCCATCTTCTGCTTTCCCAGGCCATAGCAGAGGGCAGGATCAGAAGTGGAGCAGCAGGACTCACACTGGCACCCATATTGGATACCGGCACTGCAGGTGCAGCTTACCCTCTACACCACAGCCCTGCCCCCACTACACTGTTTCTCCTTAGTAAAACCACATATTTACACTAATGGGGTATTTCCTGGAAAGCTACGCAAGAAGGCTGGGTCCTAGAAACTGAGATCCTGCTTCCCACACACAAAGAACAGAGGAACTGACAATCCTATAAATGACAACTCCTCAACTGCATGCACACCATACACACAGCACTGTTTCTCCATGGTTACGCCCTGCCCCCGTTGCATGATTGGGGGAGACGTGGGGCTGCCATGAAACAGCTCCTCACAGAGGGCTCTGAGGCTTAGACATCTCTTTGAACAGGGAAGGAGCCTACCAGGGCAGACTGCATCTTCTAGACCACAAGGAACCCAGGAGTGTGCTATGGGTACAGCGAGATCGGGCCCACTGGTTCCAGGGATGCCCTCTTGGAGCCCACATCCTGCCAGCAGGTACCACCAGCTTCCCCTTCCCCCACTCTGGACACCTGGCCCCACACACTCACCATTCCCAGGCATATGAGATGGGCTGTGTTGGGTGGAAAAGGTCAGAGAACAATGGATGCCACACTAGCTCCTGAGTCTCCAAGCGGCAGAGGCTCCTCCTTGAACCTCTCTCCTCCAGGAATTTGGAACTCTGTGGTGTCACAATCCAGTGTGATTATGTGGCAGTGATGTCACCGCGCCTGATTGGACAGCTCACATAGCCGTCAGCACACAGGACCCAGAAGACGCAACAAATCAGCATCTTTACAGCAGGGACGGAACTCCAGGCTGCTCCAGATAGGCAGAGAGGTGAGGTCTGGGTACAGGTGCCAAGGGCCTCCTCCAGGGCTGCACCCTTTCACCAGTGGGATCCTGCCACCTGCTGGGACCCTCCTGCCTCCCCACAGGTCTTCCTGGGAGAATCCCACCTGGAGGCTGCAGCCACCTGCTTAGGATGAGGGAGAGTGTAATGGCTATTTATTGGCTTTGGTGTTTTACATTTTCTTCACATTTCTGACTCATTTCTCTGTGGGGTTTTTAATACTGATAATAAGAATGTTTCCACATATTACATAATTCTATACTATTTTTTAAGCCCTAAGGTCTCTTGTTAGTCTCTGCTGTTTTAGAAAGTTCACTTATCTTGTTGAGACTGGATAGTAGCTGCATAAGAATAAATGGTAAGATCTAGTTAGGAGACAAATCTGGTTGGATGTGCCATCACTGACTTAGCTAATCATTTTCTGATGGCATTGTGAATGTTGTCCTCTGTTTTTCTATTTATTTGTTGATTGATTGCTATTACAAGAAACACTGTAAATAACACCCTGTGCAGATGTCTTTGTGGTCTATTCCTTTTGTTTCCTTAGCATAAACTTCTAGAAATGAAATTACTTTGTCAAATAGTGTGATCAATCTAGTCTCTCATCACACAAGGAATCTTACCCTTTGGAATCATGGTGCTTGAGCTGTGGCCACTCGAGAAAAGATAAAGAAGTGATTATTGTTATAGAAGCATTGAGCCTGTCTTTCAACTAGAAACTATAGTTTGAAATTACTAATAGCCACAGCTGACAAGGGAAGTTTTTCTCTTCCCTAAAATGTTACTGTGGTAATACAGATAGAACTGTATTTAAAAAGTATTTTGTGAAGCCTATACATATATAGACTTCACAATAGTAAGTATAACTAATTGGGCTGATAGATAACTGGTTGATGGAAGTGCAAATATAAAAATAACCTCACACCCTAGGTTAAAAGGGGACTAACCATGATACAATATAAGTAGCAGTTTGTCATCAATTCATTAGTTAATTTGAAAAGCTTTTATAAGTCATTTGAACAAAGTGGTCAGATTTAGAAAGATGAAGCCCATAGTTAAATTTGAATTTCTGCTAAGCAATGTTATTTTTGGTTTGATGATGTTCCACACAGTATTAGTGTGTCTTGCATTTTATCTGGCAGACCCACTCTTCTAGCAATGCAGTATGTGATTCACATACTGCATAGATATATTATCTCCCAGTGAAACATGTTTAACTGAAGCCTGTAAAACTTAGCTTTAAAACTACATTTCTGAAGGATTTTCAGGCTCTAGAGTAAAACATTCAAGGACAACCTAAGAGAATCCAGAGAAAAAGATGACAATGAGGTGAGTTTGGGGCAACTGGCCTTTGTTTCCAGTAGGTCAATGAAATATTAAAGGGAGTGCGCAAGACTAAATGAAAGGAATGGGCAAAGAAAAGACCCAGTCACTTCCCCCACTTTGTTTCTAGGACATGTCTGACATGTGGAAAAATTACAATAAATATTCATGAAATCAGGTAACTGTGATGCTCATAGAATATTCTTATATTAGAAAAATATAATACTGTGTTTTCATGAGAAGCTCTAGGATGACATGATGAGTCTTAAAAATTGATAGAAAATATGGACTGTAAAAACTATACCTGGATTTAAATATTTTTGCAAGAATACTTATCTTTTAATTCCATATTTCCAAAATCTTCTCAATGTGCCCTTGTTCAGGCTAAGCAATCTCCTATGAATCCCATGTTCTTTCTGTACCATCCAGGATTCAGAGTCCTTTCTTACTTATTTTAAGGTTGTACATTATGACTAAAAATAAATAACACAACACATCTGCACTTGTTCATTTCCAGACTTTTTTCCCTAAAGATGTATTTATTTATTTGAAAGGCAAAGGTAGAGAAGAAGAGAGAGAGAGATATCTTCCATCTACTGGTTCACTCCCAAATGGTCATAATGGCTGGAAATGGGCTAATCTGAAGCCAGGAGCCACAGGCTTCTGGGCCTCCCATGTGGATGCAGGGGATCAAGTACTTAAGCAATCTTCCACCACTTTCCTAGGTCTATTAGCAGGGAGCTGGATCAGAAGTGGAGCAGCTGGGATTCAACCCAGTGCCCATATGGGATGCCAGCATTACAAGCAGCAACATTAACCACCACACCGCTATGCCAATCCCCAAATTTTGGACTTTTAAACACAAATTTCACTGATTGGAAGCTAAAGATGTCTGTTATCCATTCCCTCATAGATTTGGCGCTGCTTACCAATAAACCCAGAGTGCCCAACTTTACTGTTTAGATTGCCTGTCTACACTCAGGTACATGTATTGTGAGCTGTCACTTCCCTGTGTAATTTGATTGTAAACCACATTAACAGACTGCAGAAGAAAAACCATATGATTATCTCAATAGATGCCGAGAAAGCATTTGATAAAATACAACACCCGTTCATGATGAACACTCTAAGCAAACTGGGTTTGGAAGGAACATTCCTCAATACAATCAAAGCAATCTATGAAAAACCCACAGCCAACATCCTATTGAATGGGGAAAAGTTGGAAGCATTTCCACTGAGATCTGGAACCAGACAGGGATGCCCACTCTCACCACTGCTATTCAATATAGTTCTGGAGGTTCTAGCCAGAGCTATTAGGCAAGAAAAAGAAATTAAAGGGATACAAATTGGGAAGGAAGAACTCAAATTATCCCTCTTTGCAGATGACATGATTCTGTATTTAGGGGACCCAAAGAACTCTACTAAGAGACTATTGGAACTCATAGAAGAGTTTGGCAAAGTAGCAGGGTATAAAATCAATGCACAAAAATCAACAGCCTTTGTATACACAGACAATGCCATGGCTGAGGAAGAACTTCTAAGATCAATCCCATTCACAATAGCTACAAAAACAGTCAAATAACTTGGAATAAACTTAACCAAGGACGTTAAGGATCTCTACGATGAAAATTACAAAACCTTAAAGAAAGAAATAGAAGAGGATACCAAGAAATGGAAAAATCTTCCATGCTCATGGATTGGAAGAATCAATATCATCAAAATGTCCATTCTCCCAAAAGCAATGTATACATTCAATGCAATACCAATCAAGATACCGAAGACCTTCTTCTCAGATCTGGAAAAAATGGTGCTGAAATTTATATGGAGGCACAAGAGACCTCGAATAGCTAAAGCAATCTTGTACAACAAAAACAAAGCCGGAGGCATCACAATACCAGATTTCAGGACATACTACAGGGCAGTTGTAATTAAAACAGCATGGTACTGGTACAGAAACAGATGGATAGACCAATGGAACAGAATTGAAACAGCAGAAATCAACCCAAACATCTACAGCCAACTTATATTTGATCAAGGATCTAAAACTAATTCCTGGAGCAAGGACAGTCTATTCAATAAATGGTGCTGGGAAAATTGGATTTCCACATGCAGAATCATGAAGCAAGACCCCTACCTTTCACCTTACACAAAAATCCACTCAACATGGATTAAAGACCTAAATCTACGACCTGACACCATCAAGTTACTAGAGAACATTGGAGAAACCCTTCAAGATATTGGCACAGGCAAAGAATTTCTGGAAAAGACCCGGGAGGCACAGGCAGTCAAAGCCAAAATCAACTATTGGGATTGCATCAAATTGAGAAGTTTCTGTACTGCAAAAGAAACAGTCAGGAGAGTGAAAAGACAACCGACAGAATGGGAAAAATATTTGCAAACTATGCAACAGATAAAGGGTTAATAACCAGAATCTACAAAGAGGTCAAGAAACTCCACAAAAACAAAACCAACAACCCACTTAAGAGATGGGCCAAGGACCTCAATAGACATTTTTCAAAAGAGGAAATCCAAATGGCCAACAGGCACATGAAAAAATGTTCAAGGTCATTAGTAATCAGGGAAATGCAAATCAAAACCACAATGAGGTTTCACCTCACCCCGGTTAGAATGGCTCACATGCAGAAATCTACCAACAACAGATGCTGGCGAGGATGTGGGGAAAAAGGGACACTAACCCACTGTTGGTGGGAATGCAAACTGGTCAAGCCACTATGGAAGTCAGTCTGGAGATTCCTCAGAAACCTGAAGATAACCCTACCGTTCGACCCAGCCATCCCACTCCTTGGAATTTACCCAAAGGAATTTAAATTGGCAAACAAAAAAGCGGTCTGCACCCTAATGTTTATTGCAGCTCAATTCACAATAGCTAAGACCTGGAACCAACCTAAATGCCCATCAACGATAGACTGGATAAAGAAATTATGGGATATGTACTCTTTAGAATACTATACCGCAGTAAGAAACAACGAAATCCAGTCATTTGCAACAAAATGGAGGAATCTGGAACACATCATGCTGAGTGAAATAAGCCAGTCCCAAAGGGACAAATACCAT